CAGCAGGAAAGCGAACAATCTTGGAAGTTATAGCTTTTTATTTTAGTAGCTGCTTCTGAGCCAATGAGGGAAACAGATTTTTTTCTTCCCTCAGTGCTCCAGAATAATAAGCGCCAATTTATATATTTATGAGAATTGTAAATTATGGTTTTCATTGCTAAAGAAAATTGAAAAGCAACTCCCTATTGAAAAAGTGGTATTTTAAGATTAACGGTACAAGTATTCAAAACAGATGAACATGCCATATCTAATGTTAGAATATATTTGTTATAATAGATTTTACATTAATCTTCAGGTAGGAAAATGCTAAGTCTTAAGGTAATTATCCATGTAATTTGGTATTAGTACAGTGATTAAGAACTGTGGAGTTAGACTACCTGAGTTCAAATCCTCTTTTTTCCTATGTGCTAACCATGTGAACTTGGTGAGCTTTACAGTTACAACTTAGATTTAGTTAATCGTCCTTTCCTTACCTGAAATTTCTATTCTGATTAGAATAATATTCTATACTTGATCTTGGCCAAATTTCTGAGAACCCTGTATGTCTTCCTTGAAGACTAATCCTCTATTTGTTAGTTGAATTGTATCCCTCTTTTCTTTTGGGTCACCTTAACCACGCACTGCCCTTGTTCCTCAGTTACTGCAAAGAGAAAAACACAATCTAGCTTTACCCACCTTCTCAGAGAGAAAAAAGATTCTTTTGCTCATGTATGTGCACATGTACACAATTAATTTGAAATTTGACTGCGCTCATAAATTTAACGTCATATCCTGATTATTCTCACCCTTCGAGTAATAAACTACCTCGTTCAGTAAAAAAATATATATATACATACATATATCACTTTGAAAATTCTCCATAGCCCAAAGTAAACCGAGGCCAAACATGAAATTTTAGTCAGCCAGGAGAAAGGCTGGATACCCTTAACAGAAGAATGTAGCCTAGCCTGGAACTTCACAGATGTCCCACATCACAACATACCTCTCTGCAGTGTCTTAGTATCTTACTGGAGCAAAGGAACGACGGACCGCGCACTTGTCCCCTCAGGGCAAGTCAGCACAGGGAACAGGGAGTCTGCAGGCTCCGTACCCCTTGACCAAGCTTAGGTGGGAAAAACACAAGCCTAGTGTGACAGGGAAAGAACGGGCATTTATTCAAAGTGTACTTATTGAGCATCTACGGTGTGCCAGCAAACCCTAGCTCTGGACTGGCTCTGACAGACCTGTCGGGGGGCTTTTGGCACTTCTCCTTCACAGAGCGCCGGTCCTGAAGGGGAGCAAACCAGTCCCGGGCTCGCCTACCTCCAAGGGCCGGACGGAGCCTGCAATAGCGACAAAGTGCTTCATAAAGAGCCAGGGGCACGAAGGCCGGCCGCCCCAAACGGACTCTCAAACCCCGGCCCGGGCCGAGCGAGCGGGCCCCGGGCAGCCGCCCACCGGCAGCCGCGCCACGCGGAAACGGGTCCCCGCCCTCCGAGGGGCCGCGCTTACCCGTCGGGCGAGTACTCGAGGTTGAAGACGGCCCCATGGGTGCGGGTGCTGAGGTACACCGAGTCCGCGGGATGGATGGAACCATAGAGGTTAGTCATGGTGCGGAAATTGTCTCGTGCCGGATCCACGAACAGCCCGCGGCCCAGGCTGCGCTCTCTCAGCCACCCGAACAGCTGGGCGCCAGGGCCGCCCAGGCGGGCGCTGAGGCAGTGCCGGCCCCGGCTCCCAGCCCTGCAGTCAGGCCCGGGTTGCCGGCGCGGCGGGGAGGGCGGTGACTGCTCTCCCTGGGCGGAAGAGGCTGAGGACTTTAGAGCTCCGGGCGGCCGGAGCTCCCCCGCGCGCCCAGCCTGGGGCTGCGAAGGGGCGCAGGGGCGGCGAGGGCTCCCGCAGGGCGACGGGGGAGGGGCTGCTTCAGCCCCCGGCTGTAGCGACGGGGGCGGTGAAGGGAGCGGCCCGGCAGCTGCAGCCTGTCTCGCGTGGGGTGCCAGCTCCTCAGCCCCGGCTCCGGCCGCCCTGTCCCCTCCGGGGCTACCAGGCCCGAAGGGAAACATGACCAACGCACCGACCCCCAGCTCCTGGCTGCTGCCCCGCCCGCCGACACCTCGGCGCTCCCGCCCCAGCCGCCACTTCCGGCGTGCGGCGGCCTAACCCCACCGGCTGGGAAACCCGAGCCGCCTCTCGGCCATCATCCGCTGGGGACCAAGAAAGCAGGGACACCGCCCGACTGTGGGTACCGCGTCCCGGAGGGTTGGAGGTCTGGAGCGACTAGGTGCGTGGGCGCGCAACTGAGGATGCCCAGGGTCTGGGCTGCATGGAGTAACGTTAGCATCTGGGCACCGCTTGTGACATTATCAGTATGTGGTTGTCAGTGACCAGACTGTGTCCTTGGGGATGACAGGGCCTGACTAGTCAGTCCAAGAGGCTGGGTATGATTATGTACTGTTTACATAATCATCTCTACACTGAGACCAGCGAAGGTCAGAAATGACCATATTATGGGCTGCTCACCCATAGTAAGTAGCATGGTGTACTGCCTACACAGCCTGGGAAACTAGGGACTCGGGTTAACTTCTGCGCTAAAAAGCCCTGGTTTGTACATTGCCTGGAAAATGGGGCTTACTGGTGCGCTGGAGCTCTGCCCAACTCCCAGTTACTTGACCTACTAGGTCAAGACTTTATCAAGGCCAAAGCCTTCCTCTCTGCAGGAAGGAACATATATCCAGTCAGGAGTCACTGAGGGGAACTGAAGACCTGAATCAATTCAGCCTTACAAGCAATAGAGCCCACCATCAGTCCTGCTTACTTCTGCCAAGCAGGGCATGGAGGGCATAACAGATGCAAGGCCCTTCATCACTGCTGTTGAAGATAAATACATAGGACTTGTTTGCAGAAAAAGATTAACGAACTGGTGTGTTTCTTGGGGAGGGAAGGAGAGTTTTCAATGAAGGGAAGCCTGAGGTATAAGAAGAGGTAGGTATAAGAACTGACAACCCTTCTAGGCCTTGATCAAGACCTGAGTTATAGAAAGCTCCCATCTGGTGACTGTTTAGGATAGTCTGAAAGATCTCAAAAGTAAAGGAATGAGACTCAGAGAGGGCTGAACATTCAGCAGTTCCTCCCACCAGCAAAGTTAGTAGTTATTCAACTCTCCTGTCCATGAGCTGACTGAAAAATGGCAAGAAGCAAGTGTCCAGTGTTCAGAGAAGATCAAGGCAGCCATTACTCTGGAGATATTCCCCATGTTAGGGGTAGAGGTCTGTTTTATAATTAACAAATAATGTCCCTTAGTGACCTACAATTTCTGGCTGCAAAAGATACTTAATAAAGGCCCTCGATTCCTGAGTTATGGCCAATGGCTAAAATTATTTTGGTGTATAAAACCTTGACCATGATATATTCACCAATGTTATTAACTTTCTCAATAAGTAAAATAAAACTCAATATTTTTCCTTTTTTTTTTTTTTTAATGCCCCTGCCTCCTCCCCTCAAAAGTCAGTTTTAAAAGGTTACATATTCTGAGATATTTAAGATATAGTTCCAACAGAATAACACAAGCTCTGCAACAAGAGTTGTGCTGTCTCAAGATAACCAGGTTTCACAGTTCAGGCAATTCAAAATTAACTCACTATCGCCCTCAAACTGATTAAGAACTATTCCCTGGCAATTTAGAGAATCTAAAGAAGTCAAATGGAAACAAAGACATTTTGTAGGTTTGCATGTACCTCTATCAGTTAGATAATGAAAATGACTCCTGAAAAGTTAAGACAGCCACATACTTAAGGCAGTGGTGGTTGTAACATGCAGAACGAGTTGCTTAGTAATGTCAGGGTTGGTTTTTTCTTATACTTCTGCCTAAAATATGAGCACCCTCTTGTTCCAAATAATTTTTACTAAAACCTAAAATAAGGATAAACTACATAAGGACTAAAATTCTATTGATATGACCATGATTTAAACAAAAGTCACTGGAGGTTAATGGAGAAGGCACTAAAGATAGAACAACTTGGTGCCTGCTTCTATTTACCCACTGCCTTTCAGAGCCTTTATATACCACCATGTTAACACAAAATTGATTTCAAACCACAGTCTAGGGCTTCCCTGGTGGCGCAGTGGTTGAGAGTCCACCTGCTGATGCAGGGGACATGGGTTCGTGCCCTGGTCTGGGAAGATCCCACATGCTGACGAGCGGCTAGGCCCGTGAGCCATGGCTGCTGAGCCTGCGCGTCCAGAACCTGTGCTCCGCAACGGGAGAGGCCACAACAGTGAGAAGCCCGCGAACCCAAAAAAAAAAAAAAAACCAAAGTCTATATAGACCAATTTCTATGTAACACTATTTTTAAAAGCTAAAATATGTTCAACTTCAATTGCTGAAATTCACAGATATCAGTTCATCAGAAATGCCTAAAGCATCCTCTGAACTCCTTTGTCCCTGATGCTCCTTTCAGATCACAACAAAAGTAAAAAAGTAAAAGGTTTCCCCCAGGCCCAGATATCACATGTCCCTAGGATCTATCTCATCAAGCAGGCAGGGAACAAATTTATTTACTTTCTTCCCTATCCATTGACTAAACATTTAAAAAAAATTACTTCCCAACTGGTGTCTTATAATGCAATGTGCTGGAAATGTAAACACTGGCCTTTCTGTTCAGGCTTTTATACTTTAGGAGCAGCAGGTTCACTCCTGATGTCTTTGACACCATTGGTTCTGCCCATCAAATAGAATTCTTTGTTGGGAACAAGACTGACAAAATGAGCAAGGCAGTTGGACATGGCATAAAAAGCTGAAATTGCAGCTATATCCCAGGCATCTTCTTGGTTGAATCCATGCACCTCGAGCTTTTTGAAATGGTCATCTGTTATGTCATCAGCTCGGGAAATAGCAAGTGCAAATTCCAGCATTGCCTTTTCCCAGGCAGGGAGGTCAGACTTTCTCCAGTTCACACAGACCTGCAAGAAAACACACAGTTAGAAGCAGAATCTCTGTCCATCACAATACAGCCAATAAAACACAAGGCCTAACAAAATAAGCATTAATGAAAAAACCCAAGATTAGAGTAAAGAGGCAAAGTCAGGCCACAATAAACTTTCCAGACAGGTAAGTATCTTGGTCAAGTTCAATATAATGCAAACCTGGAACTCTAGCTCTGCTGGGAAATCTTCTTTGCTCACTCCAACTACTTCTTTCTCCTCTAAACACCCATTTCATCAAACACCTCAGAAACAAGACTCAGAGACTCTTAATACATAAGGACCCCCAAATACCAACCTTTTTGTATGAGAAAAGTAAAGCTTAGATAATTATCCCTTTGTCCCCACTTAATCCTAAACGACACAATACTTGCAAAATTAATAGCTGATACTTAAGCAATGAATATGTGCTAAGCATATACTCAATGCTTCATATTCACTGTCTCATGTAATTCTTATAAAAATCCTAGGAAGCAATGCTTTTTATCACTCCCCATTTTATTGGCAAAGAAACTGAAGCTCTGAGAGGTCACACACTTCCCCAAGGTCACACAGCTAGAGAGTGATAGAGCTGGGATATGAATCCAAGTGTATTTGATTCCAATGACTATACTAATAATCACTACCCTTGCTAAAGCAAAATACTGGAAACCATTAACCACCTAAAAATAGGAAGTATAGTCCAGAAAACCATGGTGGTACAGTATTTCCTATGGTCATTAGGGAGACAATGCTTGAGAGACTGATCCTGGATGAGCAAAGGTCTGGCGAGTAGGCAGAAGGATCTCAGCAGGGAAAAGGGGATGATGCACCTATCTTGTTTAGCTTCTGGCTGGCAACAGAGGCCCTCAGGGAACAATTTTCAAGGTCTCCACTCAGGTGGGGTCAGGAGGGAAGGCAGGGGGATAGGAAGACTGAATCTGAAAGTGAAATTAAGAAGACACTCCCATTTTACCATTGCAACAAAAAGAATAAAAAGTCTAGGAATAGGGGCTTCCCTGGTGGTGCAGTGGTTGAGAGTCCGCCTGCTGATGCAGGGGACACGGGTTCGTGCCCCGGTCTGGGAAGATCCCACATGCCGCGGAGTGGCTAGGCCCATGAGCCATGGCTGCTAGGCCTGTGCTCCGCAACGGGAGAGGCCACAAGAGTGAGAGGCCCACGTACCGAAATAAAAAACAACTAGGAATAAACCTACCTAAGGAGACAAAAGACCTGTATGCAGAAAATTATACGACACTGATGAAAGAAATTAAAGATGATACAAATAGATGGAGAGATATACCATGTTCTTGGATTGGAAGAATCAACATTGTGAAAATGACTCTACTACCCAAAGCAATCTACAGATTCAATGCAATCCCTATCAAACTACCACTGGCATTTTTCACAGAACTAGAACAAAAAATTTCACAACTTGTATGGAAACACAAAAGACCCCGAATAAACACAGCAATCTTGAAAACGAAAAATGGAGCTGGAGGAATCAGGCTCCCTGACTTCAGACTATACTACAAAGCTACAGTAATCAAGACAGTATGGTACTGGCACAAAAACAGAAAGATAGATCAATGGAACAGGATAGAAAGCCCAGAGATAAACCCATGCACATATGGTCACCTTATCTTTGATAAAGGAGGCAGGAATGTACAGTGGAGAAAGGACAGCCTCTTCAATAAGTGGTGCTGGGAAAATTGGACAGGTACATGTAAAAGTATGAGATTAGATCACTCCCTAACACCATACACAAAAATAAGCTCAAAATGGATTAAAGACCTAAATGTAAGGCCAGAAACTATCAAACTCTTAGAGGAAAACATAGGCAGAACACTCTATGACATAAATCACAGCAAGATCCTTTTTGACCCACCTCCTAGAGAAATGGAAATAAAAACAAAAATAAACAAATGGGACCTAATGAAACTTCAAAGATTTTGCACAGCAAAGGAAACCATAAACAAGACCAAAAGACAACCCTCAGAATGGGAGAAAATATTTGCAAATGAAGCAACTGACAAAGGATTAATCTCCAAAATTTACAAGCAGCTCATGCAGCTCAATATCATACAAACAAACAACCCAATCCAAAAATGGGCAGAAGACCTAAACAGACATCGCTCCAAAGAAGCTATACAGTTGCCAACAAACACATGAAAGAATGCTCAACATCATTAATCATTAGAGAAATGCAAATCAAAACTACAATGAGATATCATCTCACACCAGTCAACAAAAAATCTACAAACAATAAATGCTGGAGAGGGTGTGGAGAAAAGGGAACCCTCTTGCACTGTTGGTGGGAATGTAAATTGATACAGCCACTATGGAAAACAGTATGGAGGTTCCTTAAAAAACTAAAAATAGAACTACCATATGACCCAGCAATCCACTACTGGGCATATACTCTGAGAAAACTGTAATTCAAAAAGAATAAGATGTGGCACATATATACAATGGAATATTACTCAGCCATAAAAAGAAACGAAATTGAGTTATCTGTAGTGAGGTGGATGGACCTAGAGTCTGTCATACAGAGTGGAGTAAGTCAGAAAGAGAAAAGCAAATACTGTATGCTAACACATATATATGGAACCTAAGAAAAAAAAAAAAGGTCATGAAGAACCTAGGGGCAAGACGGGAATAAAGACACAGACCTAGTAGAGAATGGACTTGAGGATATGGGGAGGGGGAAGGGTAAGCTGTGACAAAGTGAGAGAGTGGCATGGACATATATACACTACCAAACGTAAAATAGATAGCTAGTGGGAAGCAGCCGCATAGCACAGGGAGATCAGCTCGGTGCTTTGTGACCACCTAGAGGGGTGGGATAGGGAGCGTGGGAGGGAGGGAGACGGAAGAGGTAAGAGATATGGGAACATATGTATATATATAACTGATTCACTTTGTTATAAAGCAGAAACTAACACACCATTGTAAAGCAATTATACTCCAATAAAAATGTTAACAAAAAAAAATAATAAAGCCACCGCAATGAGAAGCCTGCGCACCACAACGAAGAGTAACCCTCGCTCACCGCAACTAGAGAAAGCCTGGGCGCAGCAACGAAGACCCAACGCAGCCAAAAATAAATAGATAAACCAATAAATTTACAAAAAGAAAATCAGCATGCAGTTCATTTGTAATTTTTAGAATCCAGTGAACTAAAAAAATTTAAAGATTCATTCAAATATTACTTCCTTCAGGACACCTATCTTGACTCCTACCTTCCTCCCACAGAGGCAAACATTTCATCCTTTGTATTCTCAGGGCTGACACCCTAATCAGGTTGTTACAGACACCGTAACACTTGGTATTTTCACGTGGTGACAGTGAACTCCCCCAGGGCATGGAAGGTGATTCACCTGAATTTCTGGCTCAGAGCAAAAGCTCAATTAGTCTTGTTGATAGAAAGTTACAGACTTCACCGGTCAACAAAGAAAAGGAACCAAGAGATACCACTTTTCCAACTTCTCAAGTAGCACAGATTTCTAAAAAGGAAGTTTTGGGAAAGAG